ACGAAATCTATGGACACGGACTGGCGAATGTGAGAATAGAGGAGAAGAGGGCGAAGTGGATGCGCAGCGGGGGCGGAGAGAATGAGGAGAAGGATGAGGATGAGGATGAGGAGGATATGAGGAGAAGGAAGTGCCCTGGGAGGCAGGGAAGTGCAGCGGACACAGGGAAGCAAGAACAATGCATCTTCCTGACCAGCTGAAAGCGATTGAGCCAGGGCCGAATAGGGACGAGGAGAAGGAGGAGAGGATGAGGAGGAGGGAGGCGCGATTATGCTGAGCATGGCGACGTGGATTTTGATGATGTTGATGAGGAAGCAAGAAGAGGAAGAAGAGGAGGAAGAAGAGGAGGAGGAGGAGGAGGAGGAAGGGGAGGGGCTATGGCGCTATGTCGTGAACGCGGCTCCCAGGTGCTAGCCTTGCCGCCTGCTGCCACATCACCGAGGGACAACCACCCCCGACTTCGGCGGGAGCCCTCGTTCAAATGGCACAATCATACCCTACACCTTCATGGACGGGTAGAGGGCAATTGCGAAGAAGGTAATGAGCAAGCACACCCGACACGATGCAATCCGCAGTGACGACATGACAATGCCCCTTCCAGCAAGATCCCCAAGGAATGTGGCGAGCTGCGTGCTTCTTTCAACCACCAGCCAGAGAATGAGAAATTGATAAGCGCACAGCGAAAAACACACTGCCGAAATGCTGCACCAAAGCCTGCTTGCTATGACCGCTACACCTAACACAATGCAGCCGAGTACTCCAAGACGCGATACGTGTGCCACACCCACACGATGTGGTCGAGCACAAGCTGTGGTAAGACATGATGAACAACTTCGCTACCGTGAATCAGACAAAAAAGAAGACAATGATGAAGACACCCGGCAATAGTAGTGGCCCCCAGCAATACTCGCAAAGTATGAGGCAAGCTGCACGCTATTTTCAACCACCAGACAGGATAATAAGAATATAAAACCCACCACGTGAAATACACTGCCTAACAACTGCACCAACGCCTCCTGAGGGCACACCAGGTTCGTGGGCGAAGGGGATGCTAGCCACCACGGCTCATCCCTCGAGCCCTAGGTTGAAAAGTACTTGAGCCCCATCCCACCAGAAATCGACTGCACAATGACCAAACCAGTGGAAAGCTCCCAGGCCCGCAATACAAATACAAACGCCTCGAACGCTATAACGGACCCCATGCCCACAACACGCCCAGCAGCCCATCCACCAAGAAGCCCTGCCTCATGAGCACGAGGAGACCATTAGGAAAGTGAGCTGCAGCAGCCTGCACCCGAATGGAGGCGAACAAATTTAAGCCGGCGTTGCCAGGAGCACCTGGACCTCAAGTGGCAGAGGGCGGCGCACCTCCCACATTCAAGTCGGACGTGTCCCTCTACAGGAGGAATATTCCAAAATAGTTACAACATAGTCAGGGGAGTGTTTTTCCTAGTATTTCTATAATAGTTTTGAATATTTTGTGGGTATTCTGTTCGTCCCAAATCCGCCTTTAGGGGGACACGCCCGACCCAAGCCTGGACCTCAAGCGGCAAGGGGCGGCGCACCTCCCCGCAGGAAGCCCCGGGGCGCTGGCCGAGCGGCGCTGCGGGGAGCCACTCGGGCCACCGTGGCTTGGGGAGTCAGGAGGGGAAAAACGCACAGACACAATTAATCGTCGATTCCCCAGAAAATATAGGAAAATATGGGAAGTGGGGGGAAGACAAACACGCAGAAAATATGGGAAAATATGGGGAATCCTGTTATGTGTGTCTATTTATTTGTGTGTCCCAGGGCCCCTTCAGGGAGGAAGGGGGGCCTGCGTGCGTGGCAGGCTCCTCCGCCGCCGCCTCCTCCGCCTCCTCCTCCCCTTGGCGCCGCTGAGCAGTGGGCCTCTCTAGCCCGCCGCCTCGCGCGCCGGCGCCCGTCCAAGAGGCCCACGTACCCGCCACAGGACGGCGCGAGGCGGCTGCGGAGTCTCCCGAGGATGGCCCCGAGGCCCAAGACAACACAGGCACGTATTTCTGTCATTCTTGCCTCATCGCTTCCTTGCCTCTGCAAGTACTGCTGCACTGCGACGCTCAGATCGCCCCATAACGGCTTCAACCATTTCGGCCTTATCGATTTCCGACTTCCAAAAGGAAGGCTTCAACGTGATCCTAAGATCGCCCGAAGAGCCCAGGAAGGGCCCAAGAAAAGGGCCCAAGACGGGCCTGGATGCCCACGTGAGGATCTCCCAAACGCTCCAAGAGGACCTAGAGAGGGCTCCAGGGGAGCTTTGCATCTCGAAGCGGACAACACGAGCACCTGCCAATGACGCCACGCTTGTTGCAGAACGGCCCTTGGAGGGCTCCTCAGGCTTCAGGAAGCCCCAGCGAGGCCCTCCAAATTGCCAAAGCAGAGCCCCAGCAGGGCCTCAAGAGAACTCCAAACGGTCTGACCTGTTGGTTGGTGCTTCGTGTGCTCCGTTCCCTTCCATTTCCCCCCCCTTTTTCCAAAAACTCCAAGGGACCAACAAATACCAGGATACACCCCAGGTGCACCAAGGTACACCCCAAGGTTTACCAATACGTAATACCAAAAACTCCAAGGTACCCCCCCAGCCCTCAAGTCCGAGGCTCCGCCCAACAAGGCTTCTCATAACCCTCGTCCTTCCCCTCCGCGGCCCTGCTGGGGGCCGCCGAAGCGCGCAAGACCGCCGAGCCACGCCCAGTCCACCAGCACGGGAGGAAGGGCTCCGGTTCGGGAGCCTTGAGACGGGGGCCATTGCAAACGGGGGTCAGCCAGAGCGCCGGATCCTGCAGGATCCTGCAGAGCCAGGGGTGCACTGACCAGGGCTAGGGCGCGGGATCCTGAAGGATTTTGCGGGATCTGCAGGATCCTACAAAGAGCCCGACCGACCTTGGTTTCGATGGATCCGCGTCAGTAGATCCCTGAGCGATGCGGGACAGGGGGACGGGACAAATCCTACCCCAGAGGGGAAAAAAGGAGTTGGAAGAGAAAACGCCCTGAACCGCCTGAGCCCAGAGTGCTGGTGGAATGTTGCTACTGCTGCTGCTGCTGCTGCTGCTGCTCCTCCTCCCATTTTCCTCCTCGTCCTCCTCGTCCTCGTCCTCCTCCTCGTCCTCCTCCTCCTCCTCCTCCTCCTCCTCCCCACTCCTTCCCCCTCCCTCCCCCATCCCTCCCTCCCCTCGGGAGGCGCACCGCGACGGCCTGCCGTGCGACTGCCAGGTCCCCTCTCGGGGGTGAGGTGGGGGGGCGCGCGTGGGCGGGGGCGGGTTGCACGGGCCGGCCACGCGCAGAAGGGGGGTAAAAGGGGGGAGTGGGGAAGCCTTCTCTTAGAAGGAGGTGTGGCTCTTCAGACGGCGCGGGCCCTGTCTGCAGATGTGGGGCCCGCGCCCTCCAAGCCCCCTCTCCCCCCGCCCCCCCCCCCCCCCAGCGCGTGACCAGCCGGGAGCGCGGCGGCGGGGAGCAGCGCGCCGCGCCCGCCCGCAGCCCCCCTTAGCCCTCGGCCCGGCCGGGCCGCGCAGCCCCGGACCTCCAGCGCGCCCGGCGTGAGGGGGGCGGGACCTCTGCAGGAGGCGGGCCCTGCAGGTGTGCAGCCGTCCTCGGGCTCCCTCGGCCCTCCGACACCCGGGCCCCTGGGTAGGGGGCCACGTGCGAACCCTACCCCTACCCCCACGATTTCTGAGGGGGAGGGTGGGGTTCACTTCGCTCGGGAGCTCCCAAACGAAGTGCAGCCGTCCTCGGGCTCCCACGGCCCTCCGACACCCTCGCAGGTGGATAGACCTCCTACCCTGATACGTCGATTGAGGAATTGGCAGTCTTCGGTTCGCGACAGGGCGTCGCGGCCGTCATTTTTGCGGGTCCAGGTCCGTCGGTTTCGGTCCCAGGCCGTTTTCACTAAGGGGAGGTTTATTAAAGGGAGGTTTATCCACCGCCGACGCCTGGGCCCCTGGGACCGTCAAGAGACGTTTCTCGCCGAAGGCCAAGTCCGCACGGAGTCGGCCCATGCGGAGTGCTCGGTCTCCGCATGGACTCCCTCCGTCCGGACTCAGCCTCTCCCAGCAGGAAGCCGAGCCCATACGGAGCAGGTCCGTACGGAGTGCTCTGTCCCCGTCTGGACTGCTATTCCGTCCGGGCTCAGCCTCTCCTGCGTGTCAGGGTGAAGACTTGGCCCCGGGGAGCCCCACCCATGGGACTGGGACCCGTCTCCACCTCAGGACCTGCTCCTCTCGTGCCGACCTCTGGTGTGTTGGTACTTGTTGCACTCGCAGGCCCCGGGCCTCCGGGGGACAGTCCTATTCGTTCCGAACAGTTTCCTCGATGCCTTCCCAGGGGCTCGAAAGATGGTCCCGGAAGCCGAAGACGGCGGAAGATTATCGCTCTGACTCTTCGCACGGCGTCAGGAGTCTCGCCGTCTCATCTCATGCTGTTGCCCCCGTCAGATCAGAAAGCGCGTGACTTGTCCAGACTCAGCAACGGCTGATTGCAGGCACCTTACAAGGTCCCACACCCGCGCATCGGCAGTCTGGTATGGCGAGTGGCAGTCTCGTAAAGGAAGCAGCAAGTGCGTCCCCTCCTCCCTCTCCCCCTGTCTCCCGATCTCTCACCCGTGCCCCCTATCCCTTCTGCCCGTGTCCTGCCCTATCTGGCCCCCCATTCACTCCCCCACTTCTTCTCCCAGAGCTACACAGTTCCTGGTTCTTCTCTGAAGCCACCTCGCTCCAGGGTCGGCAGCTTGCAGTCCCGAGCATTCCGTGTCCTTGACTCCTGATCTCGAGGGGGTTCGATCGATTTCGATCGGCCTCCCCCCCCTCCTCTCCCCCCCCCTCCCTTCCGCTCGCCCCCTCCCCTCCCCCTCCTGCCCGGCTGCCTTTCCGTCCGGCACCGCGCTGGACTGCCTCTTCAGGGAGCCTCCGAGGGCGAGGGTCAGGAGGGGAAAAAACACAGACACAATGAATCGTCGATCCCCAGGAGAACACGGGAAAACATGGGAAGTGGGGGGGGGGGGAAGACAAAAAACCCCAGAAAAGATGGGAAAAACTGTGGGGACTTCTTTTCTTTTTGTGTGTACATCAATTTGTGTGCCCCAGGGCCCCCTTCAGAGGGGGCCCCGCGGCCCGCGCTGGCGCGGCCCCGCGCCCCGCTGGCCGTCCCAGCTGCTGCCCCTCCCGCCTCGGGCCGCCCCTCGACCCGACCCGCCCCGCGCTCGCAGCGCTCGCGCCGCTCGCTCGGCCCGCCGCCCGGCTCCCAAGCGCGGTGGTCTCGCTGCTTTGGCCTGCGGGGCTTGGCTGCGGGGGCGGGCGACTCCGCGGAAGCCTCCCTGCAGGTTTGGCTTTGTCCCTCCTCCTCCTCCTCCTCCTGCTCCTCCTCCCTCCTCCTCCTCCTCCTCCTCCTCCTCCTCCTCTCCTCCTCGCTCCTCCTCTCCTCCTCCTCCCTCCTCCTATCCTCCTCCTCCTCCTCCTCCCCCTCCTCCCCTCCTCCTACGCTGCGCTCCTCCTCCTCCTCCTCCTCCTCCCTCCTCCTCCTCCTCCTCCTCCTCCTCCTCCCCCTCCTCCCCCTCCTCCTACGCTGCGCTCCTCCTCCTCCGCCTCCTCCTCGTCCTCCTCCTCCTCCTCCTCCTCGTCCTCGTCCTTCTTATGGGAGCGGCGTGCGACTCTGCTGCGCGAGCCGCGGCTCCCGCGCGCGGGGGCTCGCCTGTGGCAGGCCCGGTCCTCGCGCAGCTCCCCTGGGTTGCCTTGGTGCAGCCTGTGGCCTGCCATCTTTTCGCAGAAGAATCCATCACCACCCACCAAACCACCCCAACCCAACCCGAAGGTCTCGATTTGCCCTCCATTTCCAGTTGGGGGGGGGGGGGTTCGGGAAACGTCGAAAAAACACGTGTGGAACCCTTACCCCCCCCAACCCGAAATTCGGGTCTTCGGGTTGGGTTGGGGTGGTCTGGTAGGTAGTCAAGTGGAAGGTGGTGGTGGGTGACGACCCACCTGCCCGAGATAAAACTAGCTTTGTGGCCGACGATCAATGGAGAGGAGGCATGTTGCCAAACAGTCCAGATGTTTCAAGCATGTCTTGAACTGCAGACGCATGTTTTAACCGTTGTTAGAACAACTTCCGGACTTTTGACAACACACATTTTTAATCCAATGATAGTGTTAGGGTGTCCACTGTCATGGCATCTACAAGGCGAGATGATGATATGGGATGAGGCCCGTCCGAGCCAGAGGTGCGCGGCCAGCTCCAGTGTTATGTCGGGCGTGTCCCCCTACAGGGGGATTTTCGACGGAACATAAAAAATACCCCCAAATATCCCCAAAAGAACAAATGCTCAAAAAATGGCCCCCAGACTGTCCTTGGACTATCTTTTGACTATTTTTTGGAGGTATTTTTTTTATTTCGTCGAAAAGCCCCCTGTAGGGGGACAGGCCCGACATAAGGCCAGCTCCAGTGCGGCACCGCCGCGTCGCCGGGCACACGCCCGACACCTGCGGCCACGCACCTTTGCAGGGCCACCTCCACAACGCGGGCGCGGTGCCGGCACCGAGCTGGGCGCGGCTCCCGGCCGGAAAGCCCGCAGTGCAGGCGCAGTCGGTTTGGACGCCTGAGATGGGCACGGAAAGAATGGGTACGATGCCCAACAGCAGTTCTTGTTCATTTTGAACAGGATTCGCTGTCCGTGCCGCCGCGGCCTGTGTCCATTCGAGACAGAAGGCCGCCTGCCCAACAGCGGCCGCTGTTGGTTTGGGACAACATTTGTGTTGTTGGGCATTGTACCCATTCTTTCCGTACCCATTTCGGGCGTCCAAAGTCGGGGGTGGCTTTTTTTATGTCGGGCCTGTCCCCCTACAGGGGGCCAAAAATAATCAAACACATATTACAAAAAACAGTCTGGGGCCTATTTTTCGAGCATTTTTTGGCCTTTTTGGGGTATGTTTGGGGTATTCTTTATTTTTCGTCGAAAAGCCCCCTGTAGGGGGACACGCCCGACATAAACCGAGCTGGGCTTGGCTCCCGACGGGGAAGCGCGCAGTGCAAGCGCAGTCGGGGGGGCTTCTTGTTCGGAGGCACGCTCACCCAGCCCGCCTCCTGTTCGCCGTGTCCCCACCGCGTCGGAGCGTGCCATCCGAAATGCTGGGGCGCAGCACCTCACGGGTCGAGCATGTGTGATTTTCCTTTGCCAGCGTGCACGTCATTCTTTTTTATGTATGGCTATACGTGTGTATATATATATGTATATAGAGGTAAGCGGATTTTGTTGAACCCGTCGAGTGGAAGTCGTGGCAGACCTTCGGGGGAAACCAACGCGCATACTTTGCAATAATTTGTTGCCGTCTTTGGGGGATAGCTTCGACGAGGGCGGGTATCAATCGTTGCGCAGCCTCTGGGGGGACCACGGGACACGAAATCCGTGAAGAGTGGAAAGGGCGAGATGGATGTATCTGGGGGTTCTTGAGGCACGACTTGTGTCAGGTGTGATTTAGGGCCATTTTGAGGGCCAGCTGAACGCCTCTAGAGGTCCACAGGGTACGAAATGCGCGAAGGGCGGGCCGAGGTGAGGCACCTCTTAGAATTGTCTCTGCGGACAAGCTGTGTGCCTCGGGGGGCGTCTGTGGGCCACGAGAAGGATGAAATGTGTGCCGAGTGTGACCTCGCAGGATTTGTGTTGGGAAGGTGCCTCGCGGAATGCGCGGGGCCATTCCCAGCATGCATTTACGACGTTTCATCGTCTTTGAAGTACGACGTCGTTTCATCATCCAAACTGTGAAGTCCAACGCGGCTCAGGCTGCCCTGCTCTTGGCCAGCCGCCGCAGGGTGTCCGCCAAACCGGCGGCTTGAGCCCGCGGAGCTGGAACCGGGCGGCCCACACGGGGAGACATCATTTACATTCACGAATCAGTTTGTGCTCGAGTGGGTGGCTTCGCCGTGTTCTCGTGGTGGAACATTTGGGCCCGTCCTGTGTCTGCCTTGGGTATTGGGCAGGGTGCTCGACTGTGCCCAGGAGGTACGACCGTGTTCAGGATCCGCGGTGACCGCCGACCAACCCTGAACAATATCAGACGTCCTCGAGCCAAGCATCTCTCTGATCTCGCGCTGTGGCCGCCTGCAATCACAACGTGATGTCTCCAAGGGGAAGCAGACACGCAAACACGCAAATCAGTGGGTGTTCGGGCGTGCGGCATCGATGCGCTCGTGTGGGCGGGGGGAGAGGTGTCCAGCGCAGGTTCAAGAGGTCCGCGCGGACATTCGAGCGCCTAGGCTTGAGCCGTCTGTCTGCCCCTACTGTTTGAACCAGGGGGGGAGAGCGTCGGCGCTGCCGCCGTTCCGCGGGAGGTCGACGGCCAGCTGACCGAGGGCAACTCGAACTGCTATCGGGCGCAGTGCCACGACACGGCCAGGCGCCTCGCTGCGGACCTCGGGCTCGAGGACACCAGACGACGACGATGAGGACGAGGAGGACGACGATGTCGACGACTACGACGACGACGACGACGACGACGACGACGACCAATAAGACGACTGGGACGACGACGGCGTCGTCGACGGCGGCTGCGGCGGCTACGACAACGATGGCGGCAACCAGGATAATGATGACGACGAGGACGACGAGGACGACGGCGACGACCACGATGACGTCTACGTCTACGTCGACGTCGACGTCTCCGACGAGGACGAGGACGAGGACGAGGACGACGACGAGGACGACGACGACGAGGAGGAGGACGACGACGCTCCTGCCCGTTCTTGTGATCTTCCAGGGCCCCCTCGCTGTCGCAGCTGGAGCCGTCTCGAAGAACACGCCAGGGTGGTGCTTCCAAGGGGGTCTGAGGACAGCGGCTCTGAGGCCTTCTGGCAGGAGGGCCCCGAATCTCGGAGCGTCGTGGGGAAGCCACGGCGCCCTCTTCTCGCTCCGCTCTGGCACCTGGGGCCCTCGCATGTTGGCATGGCGCGAAGTGTTCGGCTGAGGCTTAAGTCCGCACAGAGAAAATCCACACGGAGTGCTCCTTCTCCGTACTGACTGCCTCCGTGTGCCCGGTCTCCGTGTGGACTTACACTCTAGGCGATGCTTAAGAAAACCCAAGTTTTCGGCCAGAGTCTCGATTATTCTTAATGTTTCAATGTAAATCTCAAGGTTTTAATGGAAATGTTGGGTTTTTATTCAAGTTCTGAGACTATGAATTTCTGAACCCATGATTTCTTAAGCATTTCGCAGGGTGTACTCCGTCTGGATTCGGCCTCTCCTGACAGGAGGCTAAGTACACACGGAGGAGGTCCACACGGAGGGCTCGGTTCCCGTCTGGGCTGATCCCGTCTGGATTCGGCCTCTCCTGAAAAAAGCCAGGCCGGAAGGCGGAGGCAAGAGCTGCGGCGGGCCGGTGCTGAGCTTCTGCGGCTCGTCCTCGATGCGTGCTGCCTCTCTCCTGTCCGAGGTGCCGCAGCACGCGCCCTCGCTTCTGCCTCAGCCTTCCTCCTGATCGCTCCTTGTTCCCCTCTCCCTCCCTCATTCATTCCCAAATACCGATGCGCCAGAGGCACTCGACGGAAACAATTCAGGTGATCAAACTCTTGCTCGTCCTGTTGACGAGAGCCAAGAGCACGCTTTCTCTCATGGACGACCAATTCGAGGCTACCTCTCCCGCCCTCCCTCCTCCTTTCCATGCCCTCTTCTCTTCTTTCCTTACTTCTTCCCTCCTCTCTGCTCCCCGCTCCTCCCCTGTCCCTTCACGTAGTGTGGACTCTGTGCGGGTCCTGTCAGGTGTCGAGGGGTAGAGTGGCCAAGGGCCCTCAGAGGAACCTCCCACCCGCTCCCGACAGAGGTATCCCGGGCAAGCCCCCTGATTCGATCAAGACATGCGTTCAGTTTTGTTTGTCCTGTCCGGCCTCGCCAACTCTGCATGGTTTGAGAAGTGAGGCGCGCAGGGCCCAGACGCTGGCCCGTGCTCCTGTCCCTGGCAGTGGCGCGACGGGTCAGCCGCTGGTCCCCTCTAGTTACGCAATACGGTAG